GCAAGTAGAGGATGGAACGGGTCTACACGCGCAAGGGGGGAGCGCCTACATGCGGTCCGCCTCTACCGCAGCGAGCATTCCGCTCGTGTTCAACCACAACTGGCGGACCACAGACACGGTGGCGCCTACAACGTCAACAGGAGTACCAGGGCCTGCTACAAGCGTCCTCAGAGCCAGGGCCGAGTCAGCCAGCTGGCTGGCCGAGGTTGCTCCCGGCGAGGGCGCTACCTGCAGTGGCGTTACGCGCGCGAATAGCGCTGACGCCGCCGCATGACAATCTGCTCGCGGTTTCTGAGAGAACCTGCTCGGAGGGCTCACCGGCATGGAGTCAAACGACTCCTGGAGAATCCGCTCAAGGCTCTGCAGGGACGCCGCCAGCGACCATAGGCGGGCCAGGGTCGCCGTGGGAACTTCCTTCATCGGCGGAAGTAACGCAGACGCGCGGGCACAGTGAGACGACACGGCGAGATCACGCGGAGCAGGAAGAGGACGTGGCGGAGCAAACTGAGCCCACGGCGTCCCGCCACCAGCACCTACGAAGCCCATCCCCGCAGGCAGCGGCCGCTCTGAACGCGCCGGGGATCCAAAGGGATTGTGGGGCAGGAGCGCGGAGAGAGGGACGACGGGAGCAGCGCGAGGAGCTGATGGTGACGCCGACCCCGCACGCGAGCGACGAAGCTCCTTCTCCACGTCATCAAGCCTGTCCAGAAGACGGCGCTCCATTGCGGACGGCGCTGGACGCGCATTTCCGCCGCGACTGTCACCTCCCCGTCGCCCACGACGCGCACGCCCACTTGCGCTCGAGCGCACAGGCGACTGCAGGCGAGATGGGCCCTGCTGACGCTGGCGGCCAGGAAAACGGTCCCCGCGACGAGGGGAGTAGAGCCGTTGGCGCTTTGCAGGAGGGAGCGAACGCGGAGCTGGGGGCGAACGCGGAGCTGGGGGCCGACGCCCAGACGTCTGGCGGGCAGGCGACCGCTGGCGAGATGAACGGTGAGGGGGCGAACGATGACGATGCGAACTGCGGTCACGGGATCGGCTCGCGACGCCATGCGATGAGGCGATCGAGGCGACAGCGGCGAACGGGCCGCACCGTGACGATCATCGCGGCGGCTCTCCCGCTTATCGTCGCGAGCTGCCGATGAGCGACGGCGAGGCGAACGCTCCTGGTGCGCCACAGCCTCTGCGCCGGAGCGCAAGACGGACCCCGCGCGCGGGGGCTCCCGCGGTGACAAGGACCTGCCCACGCGCGGAGCCAACTCGCGCCGCTGGTCCTCGAAGCGGCGACGGATCTGATCAGCGGACGCCGGCGGAGCAACAGGCACGCTCGCGGCAGGGCGTGCAGGGGGAAGCGGACGGGGAGCAGGATCGCTCTCCGCGGTGCAGTCGCGGCCAAGAGCGCCAAGGAAATCCATTGGCCAACGCTCAAGACGCTCCACTGGCACACGAGGAGCCGACAACGCCGATCTCCCAGGCGCAACAGGCGGAACCTGTGGCAGCTACCCCGCGGAGTGGACGGGGAAGCACGCGGGGGAGAGGCGGGCGACGAGGAGCGCGCGGAGGGCAGAGGAGCGCAGGCCAAGCGGGAAGGGGACCGCCCCGCCAGTTGCCGAGCCCAATCTGGTTGGGGGAGCCGGCGGAACGAGTCACGCGCCAGTCGTTCGCTAGACGCGGGGGGAGAGGAGGAACGACAGCGCAAGCAGTGAGAATCGGTGATTCAAACTCAGAGGGGAGCGGCGACGAATATGTACCGTCAGATCTGAGGCAACATGACAATCCCGACTCACCTCTCGCGGAAGCGGGGGAGGAGCAGGCGCAGCAGCAGGAGAGAGGTTCTAGCCGCCGACAGAACCGCAGACCCCAACCCCCTCCAGACCAAGCCCTGTCAGCGTCCCAGCTGGCATCGAGGGAGGACCTCTTTGATATCGCGATGAGCTGGGACGCTTCAACTCTAACATCGACCATTCACCTGCCTATCGTCCGCCGCCTGCCGCCGCAGATACTAAGCGACTACTCCACCTGTATGCTGGCCGCCCTCTTACGGATCTCTAAGCTGCCAAACTGCGCGGGAGCGTGGCGTGTCCTCATGTTCCTGCCACGTCTCACCTTACGACTTAGCAGGAGGTCCAGCTCTAGGTGGAAGGTGCTGCGAGCACAGATGCACCTATTCAGATGTGGCCACTGGAACCAGCTGTACAATGACTACGTGGGGTCCCTGCACCAAGCTGAGCCACCTCAGCACCAAAATGACCCCCTGGGAATCTGCTCACGTGTGGAGGGGTTGGTGAAACGGGGTAACCTGCGAAAAGCATTGGCAGCTCTCCAACCCTCGCCAGCTGCCCCTGCGACGATCGCAACACTGCAGCAGTTGGAATTGAAACATCCCCAACCCCAAATTGAGCTGCCCGACTGGGTCCACACCTACACAACACCCACGCAATTTTTGTGCACCGCGGAAAGTTTCTCAGACGTCCTCGGGGACTGCCCCAGCGGAGTTGGGGCTGGCCCATCAGGGTCAACATTTGAACACTACCGCGACCCAGCCCTAAGTAACATCGAAGTACTAGGGCACCTGCACTCCGCCGTAACACACCTTCTCTCGACGAATCTCTCCACCGAGGTTGCAGCACTTCTCTCACCATCCCGCCTCATCGCCTTCGCGAAACCAGGGGGGGGGGTACGCCCTATCGCGATAGGGGAATCCCTGCTTCGGCTGGCAGCAAAGGTGGCACTCTCGGAACTGCAAGGAGAAACAAGGCGATTTTTCTTACCCCAACAATTCGGCGTGGCAGTCCCAGGCGGAGCTGAGTTCGTTATCCACGCAGTCAGAGACCTTACCACTTCACAACCTTCCAGCCTAGTACTCCAACTCGACATTGAAAATGCTTTCAACTCCGTAGAGAGGAAAGCCTTCTTCAACGCACTCACCAACACCCCGCTAGCTCCACTCATCCCATTCACACGCTCATTCTACGCAACGCCCTCACCGCTGCTGATCGATCCCCGCTTAAGCCCAACGGCACTCACCAGCGGAAGGGGAGTCAGGCAGGGGGATCCCCTCGGACCCCTTCTATTCGCGGCGTCAATCCAGCAACACCTCAGGCGGGTAGCAGCTGAACACCCGGAAGTCACGGTCCTAGCTTACGCAGACGATATCACCATGATAGGACCGGCGACGGCGACGCTCGGCGCGCTGGGAGTGCTGACGCCGCTACTAGCACAGGATGGTCTCACCTGCAACTTCAGGAAGTCGTCGGCATGGTCTTCCACGCCGCTTGGCGGCGACGCGCTTCCCGAGGGCCTTCCCCTCACCCACGAGGGGGTTCGGGTGTTGGGAAGCCCTGTGGGGTCGCAGAGCTTCTGCTCTGACTTTGTCCGCAGCACCCTGACAGACGCGGCGGCACCCTTGGGCTCTCTCGCGACCATCCACCCACAACACACCCTCCTGCTATTATCCCGTTGCATCAGCCGCAGAATCGGCTACCTGCTGCGCACCACCCCAGCAGACGTCTTACCCCTCTCGGAATGGCATGCATGGTGCTCTGAACTGCTGAACACCGCCTTGACCGCCGCCAGCATTCAACCGCCACGCCGAGAAGCCGAGTTCAACTTCCTCCTTCGACAGGCAACTCTCCCAGTAGCCCTAGGCGGACTGGGCCTTACGGACCCCACAACTGAAGCGGCACCGGCCTACCTGGCATCTACAACAGAGGCGCTACGCCTGCTCCGCTCCCTGGACCTGCCTGCAACCGCGCCACTAGGGGCCAACAATAACGCCCTGCAGCCGTGTGCAGCGCACTCCGTGACCATCCAGGACATGGAGGGGCGACTGCCACCGCTGGCGCTACAAAACCTACGGGAGGAGCAGCAAACCCCGTCCCAAGACCAGCTGCAGCGCGCCCTCTCCCAGGAAGTGCACGCGGCAAAGGCCGACGCCCTAAGAGAGGAGTCACGCACAATACAGTCAGCCCCCGAGATGGGTCACACACTCCGCCTAGTCAGCCTGAGAGGAGAGGGAGCGGGAGCGTGGCTGCAGGCACTACCCTTGACCCCGGACCTCTGCTTCTCACCGGGTCAGTTCCGAGCGGCCCTGGCCTTCCGCATGGGCATCCGACAGAATGTACCAACCGTGTGCGAGTGCGGAGAACTCGTTGCCGACTGCAGCCTACCCAACCACTTACTCCGCTGCAGCACAGGCCCCGACAGGACGCGCACACACAACCAGCTGGCCTTCGCCATGGCTAAAATGGCGAGGGAGGCGCAGCTGGTGGTATACCTGGAGAATGCGATGTACTCACCTCCGGACGACCCGAAGAAGGCAGATGTGATTGTACAAGACCCGGACAGCGGAGAGACCTGGATCACAGACACCACTATCACTGACCCTGTGCTGCAGAACCGAGACCCCACGGCCCGCAAACCCCCAGGCTGGGCGGCAAGGGAGGCACAGAAGCGGAAGGAGAGGGACTACTACCGACACACTGAACACGTGGTGTTCTGCGCTCTGGCCGTCGAGACCTATGGGGCAAACGCGCCCCCCACGACGGCGTTCCTGAAGCTGCTGGCCACAGCAGCAGCTAGGAACCGCTTCAGGGCCAGCCCCTTGGCGAAATCCGCCAAGAAGATGGCCTGCCACTTCAGCCAGCGCTGGTCAGTGGCCCTCCAGCGCTCCCAGGCGAACGCCCTGCACACCAAGGCCAGGGCTGGGATTGAGGCAGCACACCCCCAGATGGCAGCGGACCCCTGGCCGCTGCACCTGGGGGACATCCTCCACACGCTGGAGGGCTAGAGGGTCACTCGGGGGGGGGGGGGGAAGAGGGGTGAGTTGATGGGCTTATGGGATTGAGGCTATCATGGATAGAACTGCATGTCTGTACCCCTGCTGATTTAATACAACGGACCATTTGAGAGAGAGAGAGAGAGAGAGAGAGAGAGAGAGAGAGAGAGAGAGAGGGAGAGAGAGAGAGAGAGAGAGAGAGAGAGAGAGAGGGAGCACTGACCGCATGGTGTCGTAGATGGCAAAGGCCTCTGTCTCGTACCCAAGCTTCTCACCGTCCTGACACACCACAAGGAGCAAACGGAAGGGGGCGAATTGGGGGAGAAAGGGTGAGCTGGGAAGGAAAGGGAGGAGTGGGGGGGAGGTAGAGGCTAGGCTAAGGCCTCTGTCTCGTACCCCAGCTTCTCCCCATCCTGACACACCACAGGGAATGGAGGGGCGGACCGCAAGGGGGATGGGGAGCAAGAGAAAGAAATGTTACTCGATCGAAGCAGGAGCCAGTTCCCCCCCTGAGAGCTTTGGGGGAGGATGGGGGGAATTTGTGGGTGGAGGGGTGGAGTGGAGGGGTGAAGGGTTGGAGGGAAGTGAACATTTGCTGTCCCTGACTAGTTGCCTTGTTGACTGACGTACATGTAAATGGTTAATTTCCCGAGCCGAGCTACTATGCTGCAGAGGTACATGTAGTGCAGAAGCTCAGGCATCCATGTTGAGTCGCCTCAAAACGAGGATACCCACTACAGTACCTTGGTAGTGCCAGTGGAGTTGATATACATGTAAATCGGCTTCTCAGGGCTGTCATATTGCAGGTAGAGAAGCTCCGCCATGATGAGCTCAGTCGTCCCTCCTATAACGCGGACAAAACAGTACAGTACCTTTGTAGTGCCCGTGGAGTTGATATACATGTAAATCGGCTTCTCAGGGCTGTCGTACTGCAGGTAGAGCAGCTCCGCCATGATGAGCTCGGTGACGGAGGGCACGAGCGACATGCCCAGGAACACAATGCGGTTCTTGAACAGGTAGGATGGGAGATCCGGTGGCGGCTGCTGTGTGGCCTCGCCCTTTTGAAACGGGATGACCTGCGGGGGGGGGGGGTTGTGTGGGGGGAAGCGGGCGGAGGGGGGTTTGGAGGAGAAGGGCGAAGGGGAGAGGTGGAGTAAAGGGGGAGGTGGGGGAAGGGGAAATGAAGATGGGATGGTGTTGGTAGCTCGAGTGACGGAGGGCACGAGCGACATGCCGAGAAACACAATGCGGTTCTTGAACAGATAGGATGGGAGATCCGGTGGCGGCTGCTGTGTGGCCTCGCCCTTTTGAAACGGGATGACCTGCGGGGTGTGAGGGGCGCGGGGTGGGAAGGGGGGGGAAGGAAGCGGGGAGGCGGGGTATGGGAGGAGGGTGGGTGGGGAGAGGAGAGGGGCGAAAGGGGAGGTGTGGGAGGAATGGGGGAAGAACGAGGGGGGAGTGATGGTGGGATGGGATGGGACTGTGAGTGACGGAGGGCACGAGCGACATGCCCAGGAACACAATGCGGTTCTTGAACAGATACGAGAGCAGGTCCGGTGGCGGCTGTTGCGTGGCCTCTCCCTTTTGAAACGGGATGACCTGCGGAGGGTGGGGGCGTGGGGGATGGAGGGTGCGGGGTGGGGGGTGGGGGGTGCGGTAGAGGTGAAGGCAGAGAACGCGGTTGCTAAATTGGTAAGATGAGAGGTCGGCAATCGGGTGGCGGCTGCTGTGTTGCCTCGCCTTTTTGGAACGGGATGACCGGCGAGAAAAGGGGGCAGGGGAGAGGGGAAGGGGGGCGGGGGGAGGGGGGGTGGGGGTGGGGGGGGTGGAGGGTACGGGGTGGGGGAGCGGCGAGGGGGCCCGCGGGAGAAGGATGGTTGGAGGAGAGGGGCGAGGGGGAGGAGCGGGAAATAAGGGAACGGGTGGGCGGGATTGGGCTCTCCAACTAACGTCAGGGCCGCTCCAACTAACGTCAGGGCCGCTCCAACTAACGTCAGGGCCGCTCCAACTAACGTCAGGGCCGCTCCAACTAACGTCAGGGCGGCTCCAACTAACGTCAGGGCGGCTCCTACTAACGTTACGGCGGCTCCAACGTGCGACTACAATGAACACTTGTGGTTGTTTTTGAGCTACTTTCGAGAATTCCCAAAAGCACGACTACGATAGCGCATTGAGGAAACACGTCCCGTCTGGCGCCAACCCGATGCGTCGATAACGCGGATAAGCCAACCAGCTGAAGCTGCATAACGCGCCATAGCGGCACGCAGTGAAGTTGACTCCAAGAATGAGATTTGCCGTGAACCTTGGGAATGCCGTGAACCTCGACAGTCAGTGAACCTTGGGATTTCCGTGACCCTTGAGAACGCCGCGAAGCGCTAGGAACCTCGATCGGCCTTGCCGCTGCCGCTGTGGTAACCCTCGTAGCTATTCACGCCTTGGGATTGCCTGGACGCCGTGCCATTTGGCGACAAATCTACCTGTTGTGCCAAAGCTGTAACAGTTCAAGCACACTTCAATAAAGTTCGCTGTAACGAAGCGAACACTCTTCGCGGAAGGTTATTGTAAAAGTGTGCATCCTTCGCGAGAAGGTTGCTGCCACATGGCTATTGTCGACGCGATCAGCTTCTATCGTATAAGAGGACTCGGTCGAGGGAACGCCGACAAGCCAGCTTCAGTTCTCCGTGTCGTAAGCGCGATTCGGACATCGTTCTACCGTTCCTCAATTTTCAAAGCAACGCACCATCTCGACAACCCCTCGTCTTCCGCACGAATCCCCTCCCGCCACGTGTCGTGATCGCAGCACTTCCGTCGCCGAATGGAGGCTCTGACCCATCAGCTGCTTCGCGCCCACGTGGGCGCGGCTCGCCACGTGAGCATCGAGATTTACCCTCGACGTTGATCGCGGCACGGCAACGGCTGAAACCGCGCCTTTCCGCGTGCGCGAATCGGCGCGCAGCGGCGTGGCGAGTGTGTGTGGCGCAACGGAGGAATGGCACACTAGGCGATCCATGCTCCGCAGTTACACCCCCGCTGGGAGACAGGACCACGCGGAAAGGCGACAAGAAGAAAAACGGACCGGCGATCTAGAGGCGACTGATGGCAATAGGAGTCACCCACTGCCGTACTAACGACACGAGATAACTAGGTTTGGGATAATTTGAGAGGTAGCAGTCTAGGAGGCAAGAAGAGAGGCGGGGTGGGCCCTGGGAGGCGGGGAAGCGTGTGCGCGGAGGGGAGAAAGGGGAATGCGGAGGCCGCGGGCGAGAATCTAGTGCGCGGGGATAGAGCCATTTCACATCCACGGGAACGCCACGGCATGGTCCACGTGGCGCGCTTGTATCGGTGGTGATTGCTTTAGAGCTGTTTCGGTACTCTTCACAACTCGCAACTTTACATAAATATTTTGTAAGCATTAGAAGCCCAGAACCTACCGCATTTTGTGCTCTAGAACATAGAGCAATGGCGCGCACCAGGTCATGGGCCTGTTTGTTAGAGGTGCGCCCTAGTGTATGCTGAAGATAATATATAGTAAATTTACCACAATATCAAATCAAGAGCTGACAATGATCTTTCCCTTTTAAAAGAAAACATAAAATCAATAAACTGGAGTAAGAAATAGAAATGCATTTTGTTTTTCTTAAAAAAAAACGAATTACTGGTACTGATGTCGTGACTGCCGCATTTGGTGCTGCTGAAACCACTGGTTTGACTGATCCAGTGTTCCAACCATGTCCCCCTCCTCTTCCTGCAGCCTCTCACACTCCTCCTCATCCTCACTCAGAGGATCCCTCCCATCGGGACCCACCATCAAGATATCCCATGAGTCAGCACTACCGCCAGTGTTACTGTAGATGTGACCGTTATTGTTACTGCTACTGTTGCTGTTACTGTTGCTGCTGCAGGCTTGCCCTGGAGCTGTGCTTCTTGCCTTCCCCACACCTGTTTGGAGGGGGATTTTCGCCCCTCCTTTGGCTGCTTTACCTTTGTTAAGGAGAGCCAGAGGCCGCTTGAGAAACCCCTGCTTTGCCCCTGTCTTCTTCTGCTTCTCGCCAACCCTCTCCCTCTCCTCCTTGTCTTCTGAAACCTTGCATGCATTGCCCCCTTCCTCCTCCGGCTCTCGCTGATGCTGCTGGTGCTGCTGGTGCTGCTGAGGAGGAGGATCATACTGAGAGGATTGCTTCTCAGAGTGCTTCTCAGCTTTCGCGAATCTACCGGTCGCCATCTTTCCAAACAGAGACAACGCTGCCGCACTCTCCTTCCGAGAGCCTTCTTTCAAGTCATAAGAACCAACACGCGGAATCAGCCCTTTCCTCCTCTCTTTTCCCTCCTTCCTCTCCTTCCCCTCCCTCATAGCCTTCCCCTCCTTCCCCTCCTTCCCCTCCTTCCTCTCCTTCCCCTCCTTCCCCTCCTTCCCCTCCTGCCCCTCCTTCCCCTCCTGCCCCTCCTTCCCCTCCGTTCCCTGCCCTTTTCGCCCGTCCTCCTTCAGTTCCTCACTGCATTCACTAGACTCACTCGATCCCGACCGGGGATACCGTTCCCCTTTCGCCTCCGTTTCCTCCTTCCACTGCTTCCCCTCCTTCCCTTCCTTCCGCTGCTTCCCCTCTTTCCCCTCCTTCCCCCCCTTCCCCTCCTTCCCCTGCCCTTTTCTCCTCTCCCTCTGTTCCTCCCTCCCTTCCCCTACATCCTTCCCTAAGTCCGTTGACCCGGAGTTAGAATCATCCGATCCCGACCGAGGAAAGGCCCCCTTCTTGTCTCCTTTTTCTTTAGTCGACTCAAAAACCTTCCCTGAGCCCGTTGAACCGGAGTTAGAGCCATGTGATCCTGACCGAGGAAAGGGCGCCTTCTTGTCCTTCTTTCCAGGCTTACTGGCAGTCTTAGGCTCAGACAGAAATGCATCGATTATGAAATTCAGCTCTTCTTTCACAAAGTCGCCTTCTTTGAGCTTCGATCCATTCGATCCGCCCTCCGCTCGCACAGGAATGCTGCTCGCACTGCGCCGGATGCGGCTGCTGTTGCCGCTGCTGTTGCTGCTGTTGCTGCCGCCACCAATGTTGCCTCCGCTGTTGCTGCTGCTGCTGCCACTAATTATGCCACTGCTGCCACTGCTGCTGCTGCTAGCACTGCTGCTGCCACTGCTGCCACTGCTGTTGCCGCTACTGATGCCAGCAGGGTGCCTCAGCCCCTTGGCAGTGACCATCTTCTTAAAGAGAGACGTTGCAGAGGACGATACTTCAGTCCGCGAGTTTGGGTCGGCGGTCTTTGGCCGTATGCCTGGCTGGCTCTTTGACCTGCCGTACAGGTCCTGCTTACGTTGAGCGAAATAATCATGGTCAACACGGTCAACAGGGTCAACTGGGTCAAGTGGGTCAAGTGGGTCAACGCAATCAGCTTGGTCAACAGGGTCAACAGGACTATCTTGGTCAACGCAGTCAACAGGGTCAACACCACAGTCAGCGCTCGTCTCATGCTCCTTCCGACCCTCTCCATCAAGCCTCCCTCCCTTGTACTTTCTCCCAAGCACTTGAACGCTCGCCATCCTTCCCCACACCATACCCTTCCCCTGCCCCTTCTCCTGCCCATTCCCATGTAAGCTCTCTCCATCCAAATCATACTGCCTGCCACCGCTACCAATCCCATCTCTCCCCCCTCCCCTCCGCCTATCCTGAACAGTAACAGCTTTCACAAAGCCTCCCTTCCCAGCCCTCCTGCTGCCCCCTTTCCCACTCTCCCCAGAGGCAGCTTTTCCATCTCCCCAGCCCTCATCTTTCGCAAGGCCCCTGCTCCCATGTCCTCCATCCCTCGCTCTATCATCCTCCCCATCTCTCCTGAGGTCTGCAAGTTCCTTCGACATAAGCCCCTTCCTCATAGCCCGTTCTTTCACAGTCAAGCTCTTTCCCATCTCCCCCTCCTGCCCTTCTGCGGAAGCAGCCTTACTGGTCTGCACTGCTTCAGACTTTTGACGCGCCTCAAACGTTGGCTCCCCTTCTTGCTGGTTTGTAAAGGAAACAGCCTTTCTGCTTTGGACCGTCTCAAAAGCAACAGCCCCCCCCTTCTGCACTCGTGCCAAGGGGCCACCAGCAGACCCCCCAGCAGATTCGTTAGTAGCTGCCCCCGGTGTGTTATAAGCTTGAACGTTGGGAGCAGGAGCTACAGTGGCCGAGTCTTTGTCATTATGTGGAGCAGGATCAGTGTCGAGAAAATCGGCAATGTCTGGGGGAATGACGACCGAGGCGAGAGGGAGCGGGGTGCCTGTGTCCAGATGAAGGGCGAGCAGAGAGGCGGAGGGCAGGCGAGTGAGGCGGGACTTTGGCTGTGGTGGTGACTTTTGAGTCGACTCAAAAGTCACCTCAGAGGGCAGGCGAATGAGGTGGGACTTTGGCTGTGGTGGTGGCGATGGTTGCTCCTCCTGCTCCTGCTGTCGCTGGTGCAGTTGTTGCTGCTGCCCCTGCCTTTGTTCCTTCTCAGCAGCCATCTCATCACCTCCCACTTCCCCCTCTCCTCCCTCCCCCAAACCGCTTTCACTCCCACACTTGCGACTCTCCCTTGCACTCCTTTTTCCATTCTCGCTGCTCCCCTCACTCCAGCCACTCCCCATTGCCCAGCCGCTTCCCTTCTCACTCCCACAAACAGCATCATCCAAATCTTCTCCCTCTCGCCTTAACTCCTCCCTCTCCTGCGCCTTTCCCCTCTCCTCTCGTCCCATACCCTTCCGTCTCCGCCCTTCCACCCCTCCCCTCATCATCACTCCCACTGCGTCCCATGCCTCTCTCACCTCCTCCTCATCGGCCTTCCATTTTCCCTTCACTTTCAACTCTTCCTCTTCCACCTTCCACTTGCCACTACCCCTCTCATTCACTTTGCACCCATCCCTGTCCTCTTGCCTGCCCCAGCCGTTCCACTCTCTCTCCGCTCCAAGCCCCCCGCCTACGCTTTTACTCCGCCAGCCCTTACCCCGAGCCTCCTCTCCTCTCCCCCCTCTGCTCTTGCCCTTGCTGCCCTCTCCCTCTTCCCATCTGCTATTACCTCTAGCGACTTCTCCTTTCTTCCCCTGCCGTTCCTGCCTCTCCTGCTGTTCCTCCCGCTCCTCCCGCTCCTCCCGCTCCTCCCGCTCCTGCCGCTCCTGCTGCTCCGAAGTCTCTTTCCGCGCCTGCCGCCTCACAGGGGTCAAGGGTCTGGCCATTCGACCGTCACTTTCCCACTCATCCACGCCCATTCCAGTCGACTCAGAAGGCCCCTCTCGTTGCCACTCCTCTGCACCCGATCGCCCCACAGGGGTTAACAGTCTCGCATCTCTAGTGCTCCTTCCTTTGAAGCCGCTTCTTCTTAAATTATTTTCACTCCCGTCCACGCCCTCTTGGTCCCAGTCTTGAGCTTCCTCATCGTCCCACTCATAGTATCCCTCCTCCTCCTTCCCCCCCTCTCCCCTGCTCTCCAGACGGCTGCTCGGCTGTTTTAGCCCAAGGACATGGCCCGCCACGCCCTCTTGGTCCCCGTCTTGAGCTTCCTCATCGTCCAACTCATAGTATCCCTCCTCCTCGTTCTCCCCTTCTCCCGCGCACTCCACACGGCCGCTCATCTCCCTGTGCCCGAGAACATGGCCTGCTGACCTGCTCCGAACGTGCCCTGACTTCAAACATGGCTTCAGGCCTTGTGACATTGAAGAGTGGCCGAACTTTTTGCCTTGTGCACGTTCCGATTTCAGCCTACTTGCGAGCGTTATTTGAGACCTTTGAGGAGTCGATAGGCTCTGAGCGTGGCTTGCATCTCGTTGCCTTTGTGGAGATCTCCTCTCCCCCTCTCCACCCATAAGCAAACCACCATGAGAACCACCGGAACGATCGGAAATACCAGAACTACGCAAATGACCAGAACCACCGGAACCGCCGGAACCGAAACCAGCCCCACGGCTCCCTTTCCCTCGCCCCGACCCTATCCACGCATCCTCCGTGGCAGAATCCACTGCTGAGTCAGACAGATCGAGGTCCAGCATGGCAGCTGCTGCTGCTGACACCATCGCTCTCTCCTCCCCTCTCCAGGCCCCACTCGTGACGTCATCCATAGCATCATCCCCATACAGATCCGAATTGTGTAAGAACCTCCTTTGCACTGCGCCCTCCGTCTCTCCCTCCTCCACTTCTTCCTCCTCGTCCTCCTCCTGTCTTTCCGCTCTGGTCGCATGACCTGCGTTGTTGGCAGGGGAAGACCTGTGACGGTTAGAGCCCCCACCAGGGGATTCTGAGGAGAAATCCTGTTGGCAGTTGAACGGTAAATGACAGCTGGGTGAACGGAAGTGGGAATGAGCGCGCGAGTGAGAGTGGGCCTGAGAGTAGTGAGAGTGGGAGTGGGTGTGAGCATGAGGGTGGGAGTGAGTGTGGGAGTGAGTGTGAGAGTGAGAGTGAGTGTGGGGGTGAGTGGGCGAGCAAGAAGCGTCAACAGAGGAGTTTCGGAGGCGAGAGAGTGCAGCACTCCGGCCACCCTCCCAGGAGAACTCGCTGCTGAGAACGGCAGAGGGCAGGGCGGACATGGTACGGCGGGGCCGACCATGCAAGGGGACCCCCACTGCACGCTGGGTATGGCGCTGCTGCTGCTGCTGGTGTTGCTGCTGCTGCTGCTGCTGCCGTTGCTGCAGGTAGGGCAGGTGGTGGAGTTGGGAGGGTTGCCCTTGAACTGCCAAAGCAGCAGGCTTGGGGCCTCGGCCCCAGCGTCTCCCGTCCTCCCACTCTTGGTACCGCTCTGTGCGATCCTTGGGCGTTTCCCCTTCCCACTCCGCGTCCCCTGCCGCCCACCCTCCCCTGCCCTCGCCTTCGCTCGCACCCTCATCCTCGTCTCTTTGTCCCTGCTCACTGCTAATCAGTAACTCCTCCTTTCGGTTACTACGCCCATACACGGCCTGCTGCTGCTGCCACTGCTGCCGCTGCTGATTCTGCTGTGGCCTGTGTTCGCCTTGTGCAGCAGCGGACAAGGAGGATTGGGCAAGGCGGCTGGTGGGAGCGGGCCGACGCGGGGGCGAGGGAGAGGGAGAGCAGGGGGGAGCAAGGAAGGAGACGGGCCCTGAGGCGGACCGAGCATGGCCATGACGGGACGCTCGGTACTGATGGGACATTGCGGACGGTTGGGATGACTGATGCTCATTTGCTTGGTAATAAAGATCATAGCGTTCTTGGCCTTGCTGCTGCTGGTTTCGTAGCTCCTGCTGTTCCTCCCACTGTTCCTCCTCCTCTTGCTGTTCCTCCTCCTCCCCCTTCTGCTGCTGCTGCTGCTGATGGTGAAACCGCTGCTGCTGGTGCTGGGTCGGCCACACCAGCTGCTCCCTTTCTGTCTTGTTCCGGGCGCTTCTCGCAGCTGAGACACCAAGGGCGGTGGCGTTGCCCTTCCCCGCAGCGCCGCTCTGATACTCATAACCGCCACCATCAACCGGGCCCTCTCCATCCGCGCTACAGCAACGAACTGGCCGATTATAGCTTAGCTTCGCTCCAGGAGCAATTATGTATCGTGTTGGACTGTTGCCCGCCAGAAGGACGCGGGGAGAGCTGTCGCGGAGAGGGTGGTTGTGGCGGTTGGGGCTGCGCTCTCCGGCAGGATTCGAACCCGCGTCTCCAACAGCAAGTCTGGCGATTTCAGCGGCAGTCATGGAGACGGAGCGGTGGCGGTGGCGAGCGAGGAGGGGCTTGCGGTGGGACTGCAAGGTGTGGAGAACGGTGCACATAGGTACGAAGGAGGCAGGACTCATTGGGATCATGCTTGATGCGTTGTGTTGTGACAGAGTTCGCGTGGAAGGACAAGGTACGATACGATATTATCGAGGCGTTCCCAGTCTTATGTGGACGGGCGGAGTGCGAGGGAAGCTATCTTTTGCAACAGAGCTCAGCATTTCCGTTCGCGACAAAGGATCATGGGAGAAAAGAGGAACAACGGACGAGGTGAGGAGGAAAATAAGACGCACCTCTCGCACGCCACCAGCAGCAGCACCACCAGCAGCACCGCCAACACTACCACCAGCAGCAGCGCCAGCTGACGCTTCATCCGCGACGGCAGCGAGAGCAGCAGGTAACCCTCCCCGCGAATACGACCTTCCCCGGTCCAGCACTGCCTTGACTGCCAGGGGGGGACTCTCCATCAGCATCTCGTCGAGACGCATCGAGCCGCCTCGCGACTTGCGCCGTTCCTTTCCCGGCGCGCTTCCGCGTGCAGCGGCGACTCCTGCCGACGGCGGCGCAGTGTCAGAAGTTGACGCTCTGGGCAATTCTAAAGCGGGTGAGGGCTCAGAGACGGACGGTAATGGAAAAGTGGAGGACCTCGGCGTGACTGGCGGCTGCTCTGCCGCTGCTGTTGCCGCCATGGCCAGCTCTCCTGAGGCTAATTCGTCCGTTACTAATGAAGCGCCTTTCGACCTTCGCCTTTCTCTACGTTCTTTATTCATCCCAGCTCCAACCGAGGGGTCCGCAGGAGTCCGTGTGCGAACGTTTTGAGAATCTCGCGGTACTGGCGAACTGTTTGCTTCTGGGTAACCCTGTTTATCTCCCGTGAATTGCTTCTGGGACGTGGCACGGCGCCTTTCGGCCATGTTTTCGCCCGGCTTGTTTGCTACAACTACTCCCGACAGGCCAGACGAGCCGACGCCTACGTTTTCGAATCTTCCTATTTTGACATGCCTGGCACGCGAAACTTGCAGGTTTGCATCGTCAATATTATCTTCCAGGAGGAATAAGTGCGGGACTTCACAAGCGGCAGCCATTCATGTGCGTCTCCAGTCGCATTGAGCGTACACACTCGAAGGGTAGTTTCGAACAAGAACGCGTTCACACAGTCGCAATTGTTGGAGTGATTCTGTAATTGACGAAGAAAAACGCCGCTGCGTCTCGAAGCTAACGCGTTCACAAGCTTCAGCAACAAAATGGGCTCGGAACGACAATCCGCCTCATTTCAGCTGTAAAATGGTAAGGGAAAACAGACTCGGAGTCCTCGTAGACTGAAGAACTGAAACCTCTGTCACGCAACACGTATAACATCGCTGGCGATGCGATTTGGGAGTTCTTTCTTGACGTTGGATGAGAGCTGGAGGAGACAATCTCGAGGGACAACCCCGCAGGACAATCCCGAACGACCCCTTGCCTGGGATTTCCCGAGTCTCTCGATCGATCGAGTCTCGCAGAACTCGACCGCGCTGGTGGGGTCACAGTCGCGCCACTGGCAGGCACCGACTTGGGCAGATTGCTAGTGCCAGCCAGGAAGGTAATCCCAAGGAGCCTCCTTCCCACATCCCCCCCCTCCTGCCCCAGTTTTGCTGGTGGATGCAGGATATAGGGTAACCAGTCGCGGCCTCATGCCGCAACGCGTTGGGCCAACTCCAACCGTCGTCTTTATTTCGCCACAACTCGCTTTCAGCCCTCGGACCTGGGGGAAACAGGATGAATTGCCCGACCGACGCGAGACGCGACTGGCTAAGTTGGTGGGCCTATCTGACGTGGCGTCATTACGTGGTGCCACATGTGGATGCGCAGTGGAAGGCGCTGTCGCAGTCTTCGCAGCCAATGGGCAACTGGAAAGAATTCATCGTTCTTGCACCAACCTTCTACAGAAAAGGGTAGCCATGGGATGTTCGTTATACTGAGAGTGGTCATATAACCAGGCACACTACACCTCAAACACACATAATCTTATGCGTGAATTGCACGTCCCTAAAATCTCACCCTAAACCCTGAACTGTCATTCTTCCAAAAAATTGGGGCCTACTCTTCATCAAGCATTCCAGGAATCCTGAAGTCAAAGACTCATTCGACCGTAAGATGGTGAGAGGTTTCGCTCGGGTCAGGGCAGCGACGTTTCCGGGCTGCAGGCTATGACGAGCCCATGCTAAGGGCTTTTATGGGGCTGCAGCCCAAGTCGACCAAAATATTTGGCCGTTTCATGTGCTGAAGCCCTTGTCGACCTTATGCTTAAGTTGAAATCAGAGCAGCGGCTGGATATTTTGGGCTAGTAAGCAGGTCGTTGGTAGGGCTGCAGCCCCAATCGACCTTAGCATGGGGACCTCGCAAGGGCTGCAACCCGTTTTGACCTAGCAGACAGGTCGTTGGTAGGCTGAGGCCCTAGTCGACCTTATGCTAAGGTCAAATGGGTGCTGCGGATCATTTTGCTCGTTCCTAGGTCGATATGCCTAGGAAGACCTAGTGCTAAGGTCGTTGCTAGAGCTGCAGCCCTTTTCGACCTAATGCAAGTGTCGTTTCCTGCGCGCAGCCCAAGGAAACCTATTAGGCCGTTTAGTTGCTGCATCCCATGACGTGGGGCAAAGGGGAAGTGAAAAGGAACAGTCGGGAAAGGAGAGTGGAACGGCGGGGGAAGAGGAGTGGAACGGTGGGGGAAGAGGAGTGGAACGGTGGGGGAAGAGGAGTGGAACGGTAGGGGAAAGGGAGTGGAACAGTGAGGGAAAGGGAGATGATCAGTGGGGGAAACGGACTGGAAGAGTGAGGGAAGGAGAGTGGAATGGTGGGGGGAAGGGGAGTTGAACAGTGAGCTAAGGGGTGTTTGAGCAACGGGGGAAGGGGGGTTTGAGCAATGGGGGAAGGGGGGTTTGAGCAATGGGGGAAGGGGGGTTTGAGCAGTGGGGGAAGGGGAGTTCGGGCAGTGGTGTGACATCAGTGGTGTGACATCAGTGGTGTGACGTCAGTGGTGTGACGTCAGTGGTGTGACGTCAGTGGTGTGACATCAGTGGTGTGACATCAGTGGTTGGTTGTTGGTCGCTCCTCCTCCAGTAGAGCTACACCCGGATTCCTGAGCATACCCCGTCATCACGTCTCCGTTTTTCCGATTCCCATGCATTACACTTCCTTCCTGCCTTTCAGTGGTGAATGCAGACCAGGATTTATACGTAGCCGCAGGTCGCCCTTCGAGAGTTTGACAGAGCCAGCCAGCAGATTCCCGAATTGCATCATGGCGAGCAGCTCACAACATCAGAAGGAGCTGAATCTAAAGGTATTAGAGCCGCCCGTTACCCCATATTTCCAGCGCCCTACTCTCTCCTGCTTCTGCTGCCTTTGCTGTTTTCTTCGGTTTCCCAGAGCAATCCTTTGATTGCCTTGATCAGCTCAGTTGGCGATGCTGGTAGGAGTTATACAAGAGAGATTGTTCTTGTGACTCCTCTCTGTGTTCTTACGACTATCTCTCTGTAGGTGTAGGAACTGCAGATGGCCTGTGCTGAGCTTTCCTCTCTGCCCTCTGGCCGGGTAAGCCCCACTTGTCGTGTTCTGCTGCAGCTGTGCATTATTTATGCGTATTGAGGTGATTTTTTTATCGACTCAAAATTTTCCGGGTAAGTCCCACTTGTCCCGTTCTGCTGCAGCCGTGCATCGTTTATGGGTATGGAGATTACCAAGGGCATGAGTCAGACTCTTTGTTCGAATAGTGGGTTTCCTGATTGTCCCTCAGTTTAGCCAATCACCTGCTGACTGCAGATCAGAAACATGGTGCGATGTTTTTGCAGACCACTTATCAGAAACGTGGTGCGATTTTTTTCCTCGCTGACAGCAGTACGCTCAAGGAGAAGAAGCAAGGTAGGAAGAAGTTAAGGTGGAAGCTTGTCTCTTTCCCTTACCCTTTTTTTTTGCTCGTTCCAGCTTGACATGCTCTGCTGGCTTTCTTTTAAACTCCATGGTACATCCACGTTTCTTCGTTTTTTGTGATTACCTCTCCCATCCACAACCCTTGCAGAGGAGCTCTCAAGGTTGTCAGCAACGACTTCCATATAAACAGGAGCGAGCACACTGGAGCCAACACCTTGGCATCTACAATGTTTTGTTGTCAAATCAACCAAGAAGCATAAGGAAGACTTATTATTCCATTGTTGATCTAGGTCCAGTGTAAATTGCCACCCTGGGAGCAACAATATCTGTGGAATCAGTTTATAACCGTACAATTTTCTCACGTCACAATCTGAACCGGGAGGGTCGACTGCTCGTCACAACTGGGAATACGCCCTCGACATTGGACAAATTCCTAGGTTCCATGTGCTTCACACACACACACCTAACGAAGCCAGAACACGCCTAACCTAGGAAACTCTGCCTTCCGTCGCGCCGCCATCCCAGCAGCATTGTGGTTTTAGGAGCAGCCGCTCCGTCACATTCCGCGTTTCGCGCTCACGCCAGTCCACGCAACGCAAGCATCTTCCCTATTCCCATCTCACTCGACCCAGGTTCTCTTCTTCGCGTCGCGACGATCCTTTGCCGAACCTCGTTCCTGGTTTGAAATGTGAATCTGCTGGTCAGTACTAGGCTCGGAGGCTAACTCCCTTCCGCATTCCTAAGTTCGTCCACGTGGTGTTTTCTGAATGGTCCAACATTATATTTCTCGGTCCATGCTGCTGGAGCAGTCCCCAGCCGCCACGTGGCAACCACCCCACACTTGGCGCAACAGCGACGCGTCAGACGACTCCTTTTCCCGCGTGAACCACAACTTCCCATTCCCGCAAGCCCTCGGCGCAACCTTCTTCCCCGCATTCTCCACCGTCCGATTTCTCGAGCACTTCTTAGATTCGCATCCTGACCGTTCGCCGCTCAGCGACATGGCTCCGTCGTCGCACGTGGTGATCGCGAGCGTTACCGTGTGCGCGGTGGTCGCCATCGGGGTGTGCTACCTGTGCATGCGGAAGAAACGGCGAGACGGGGACGGGTACGACGGGCCTGGCCAGGCGTCCGCAGGGACAGCGGCCACAGCTGGGGCTGCAGCTGCAGCGGCTGCTAATGGCGAAACCCGCGTGCCGCTTCTGTTCTCTCAGGTACGAGTTTCCTGCAGCTGCAGCTGCTGCTGCAGCTATAGGATTTCTGCATTCCTCATCCACAACTTAAATCTCAACATACACGAGCCGCACTGGGAAGATTGAAAGCATGGCAATGCATTCTTCTCCTCTCCCCCTCCCTCCCCCCGTTCCCCCCGTTCCCTTCTCCCACCCCTATCTTCCTGCCCTTCTCCATCTTGCCACCCTCCCCTTCAACATTCCCTTCCCCCTCCCCTTTCCCCCCCCACCGTTCCAGGACTGGGGCGACGAGAGCGAGGACATAGAGCAGCAGTCCTTCCCGCCCTCGCAACCCCCCTCCCCCCGTCTCCCCTCCCCTCCCCCGCCCCACAACCCTCCCCAGGACTGGGGCGACGAGAGCGAGGACATAGAGCAGCAGTCCTTCCCGCCCTCGCAACCCCCCTCCCCCCGTCTCCCCTCCCCTCCCCCGCCCCACAACCCTCCCCAGGACTGGGGCGACGAGAGCGAGGACATAGAGCAGCAGTCCTTCCCGCCCTCGCAACCCCCCTCCCCCCGTCTCCCCTCCCCTCCCCCGCCCCACAACCCTCCCCAGGACTGGGGCGACGAGAGCGAGGACATAGAGCAGCAGTCCTTCCCGCCCTCGCAACCCTCCGCCTCCGCGGACCAGCAAGCAGCGGCGGAAGCAGACGCAGCAGAGGCGGCGCGGGCAGCGCGGCAGAAGCAGTGGGAGGAGGAGCGGCGGCAGGCGGAGGCAGAGGCGGCAGAGGAGGCAGCAGCGGCGGCGGCAGCTGCTAATAAGCGCGCGAGGAAGGAGGGGGGGGGAAGGCAAGGGAGGGTGAAGTTTGGAGAGTCGACTGTGAGGGAGTATGATGCTGAGGAGGGGGCGGATGGGGAGGGGGACGCAGAGGCAGCCGCTGCTGCTGCTGCTGCTGCGGCTGTTCCTGCTGCTGCAGTGCCTGATGCTGCAGCTGCTGCAAAGAAGAAGGCGGCTAGGAGGGAAGGTGGGTTTGGGGCAGGCGGGATGGTGAATGACTGACTGGTGGAGAAAGGACGAGAATGTGGTGGTAGCAGCCATGCATTGGGGTAGGCAGCAGGTGATTTTGAGTCGACTCAAGAATCACCTCAGGTAGACTACTTCTGTGGCGCCTCAGAAATCACCTCCGCTAGGTGAATGAATTGTGGAGAAAGGACGAGAACGGGGTAGCAGGCAAGTAATAAAGCAGGCAGGCAGCAGCAGGGTGGTGCCGAAGAACGAGAAGCTGGAGAGAGAGAGGAGGCTTGAAGCATGTGACCCCAGTTTTGCACACCCCGTCTGCCTATCCTCTTTCCACGCCCAGGCGCCACGCTGGTACTGGAGGGGATCAGCGGGCCAGCAGCGGGCAGCCGGCTGGTGCTGAAGAACGAGAAGCTGTGCCCCGTGCCCCAGCCCTATGCCCCGTACCCTGTGCCCTTTGCCGTTTGCCCTGTGTCCTGTTGCCTCTAACCCGGTTGCACACATCACCAGGAGCCACGCTGGTGTTGGAGGTGATCAGCGGGCCGGCCTCAGGCGGCAAGTAGGTGCTGAAGAACGAGAAGCTGGAGCCATGGCCGTCCGCCACGCGTGAAGGCTTCACATATCCCCTTGTCGTTCCCCTTTCCACACACCCACCAGGTGCCACGCTGGTATTGGAGGTGATCAGTGGGCCGGCCTCAGGCGGCAAGCTGGTGCTGAAGAACGAGAAGCTGGGACTTGGGGGCCTCGAAGCTCGTATGCCCATGCCCCGTACCCCATGCCCTGTTGCCTCTAACCCCGTTGCACCCATCACCAGGAGCCACATTGGTATTGGAGGTGATCAGTGGACCAGCCTCAGGCGGCAAGCTGGTGCTGAAGAACGAGAAGCTAGAGCCATGGCCGTCCGCCACCATAGGGCGCGTGAAGGCCAACGACCTGCAGCTGAACGATGGGGAGGTGTCCAGCAAGCACGCATATGTTACATGGAATGCCCTGGTGCGTTTGAATGGTTGGTTGCTGTGTGTCCTGGGTGCTCATGCTGAGAGCCGTGTTGACACGTGTCGTGTCTGAGCTGAACGATGGGGAGGTGTCCAGCAAGCACGCCTACGTCACCTCACCTGGAATGCCCTGGTGCGTCAGCACCAAACACGCCTGCAAACACGCCTGCAAACACGCCTGCAAACACGCCTGCAAACACGCCTGCAAACACGCCTGCAAACAAACACACCTACGCCACTTGGAACGGGACGGGCTGGTGTGTGTGATAGGCCGCGTGAAGGCGATAGACCTGCAGCTGAACAATGGGATGGGGAGGTGTCCATTTCACGTACCCCGTTCTCCGCCCCTTCCCTGCAAACTCTCTGTCCCGCATCACCCCCAACCCAACACCCCCTTTCCCCCACGCAGTGGGGGCGGTGGGAGGTGGTGGATCGCGGGTCGCTGAACGGCACACTGCTGAACGACGAGGCGATCAATGCAGAGGCCTTGAGTGCCGAGGCAGGCGACCAAGTATTGCAAGCGCAGTGCGCACCGAGGGATGTGACTTAGTCGACCAGGGAAGCAAACGCCCGTCTCTCTCCTCTCCTGTGTCCTGCCCTGCCCTGTCTCTTCCCTGCACAACACTGCTTGTGCTGCTTTGCCTCCCAGTCCGGGCGGTGGGAGGTGGTGGACCGTGGGTCACTCAACGGCACGCTGCTGAACGACGAGGCGATCAATGCAGAGGCAGACGAGGAGGGCGAGCGCACGGAGGGGCGGCCGTGCCAGCTGGCGGATGGCGACGTGATCACGTGCGGGTCGCAGTCACGCATCCTGGTGCGTGTGTTTGTCTGTTCCTTTCTTTGTGGAATATTATTGTTTTCCATTTTGTTGCATGCATTTTCTGAGATTTCTCACGAAACACATGCGGGTCGCAGTCACCGGTCTTGGTGCATGTGCGTGTGTGTGTGTGTGTGTGTGTGCTGCTGCGGCGCATGTGTATCTTGGAGCCTGCATACCTGCGTGAGTCTTTGGTGTGGCTTTGTGCAAGGGCCAGCAAACGGAAGTCTGATAGTGAAAACAGATAGACTCCACGAGGATACAGAATCGTGGTGGCATCCCTCATGTGCACATATCTGATTCGATGTGATGGCATCCCTCCCCCACTCCTCCCCCGCCCAAGGTGTGGGCAGGGCAGCTATGCCCTGATGCCCCGTGGGATGTGACGTGGCCGTGGCAGCAATTTTTGAGATTTCTCAAAAATATGTGGGCAGCCATGCCCTGATGCCCCCGGTGTGATGTGACGTGGCCGTGCCGTGGCAGCAGATGAGATGAGGGCGCGCAAGGGAGGCAAGCCACTGCCCTTCAGAACACTAACTGCCATGCCTCCCCTCTTTCCACCCGCCCTCCCTTCCACCCCCCCTCTCCCCCCTCTTCCCTCCCGCCCACCACTCAGGTGCGTCTGCTAGCGGACACGAGCAAGGTGGAGCACCCGTGCCCCGAGGCCCCGTGTGACATCGCCATTGCAGCCGACCCCATGCGGGCGCGCAAGGGAGGCAAGCCGCTGCCCATGAGAACTCCGAGTGGCCTGCCTTCCTTCTTTCCTCCCTCCCTCTTTGTGCTCACCCTCATCCCCCCCGTGCCACCCAGGTGCGACTACTGGCGGACACGAGCAAGGTGGAGCACCCATGTCCCGAGGCCCCGTGTGACATCGCCATAGCAGCCGACCCCATGCGGGCGCGCAAGGGAGGCAAGCCACTGCCCATGGAGGATGTGCCTCTGTGCGAGTGGCCGCTAAGGGGCCTACAGGACGTGAGTGTGACGGGGTGTGAGTGACCTTGTTGATGCGTGCAGGATGCTATGGGGGGGGGGGGGGGGGGGGGGATGCAGACTGTGAGTGTGTGGTGTGCTGCCAGCAGCAAGGGAGGCAAGCCGCTGCCCATGGAGGACGTGCCTCTGTGCGAGTGGCCACTCAGAAGCTTGCTGGACGTGAGTGTGTGGATTGTGAGTGTATTGAGTTGGTTGCTGCATGCCGTCAGTGCGTAAGGTGCAACCGTTATAACACCCTCCATTTCCACACACGTGTATGATGTATTCGTTCTTTTTAACCTCGCACTGATCGTTTGTTTCTACATTGTAACTCTCTGCCTTACCCTCACATGGTTCCTCACTTTCCCCTCACTTTCTCCCCACCCCTCGCACCATGAGTATGTGTGCGGGCCTCAGATGGGCATTTGCTGTGTGTTTGTGTTAGGTTCCCATCATATTCACTTTTGATACTTCCGTGCTTGCCCTTGCCAACTCCTCCCCCCCCCCCCCCATGCATGTGCGCGGACTACAGATGGGCATCTGCTGTGTGTTTGATGGCCATGCGGGCAGGCAGTGCGCTGACAACGTGAAGAGGTGAGGCCACTGCTACTGCTGGGGGTCTGTTCTGGTGTCATTGTGTGGACCGTGACAATGGTGAGTGTGATTATGCAAGTGTGTGTGTGACATGGGCGCCTCAGATGGTGGAGTGGTAGGATACAGACCAAACATTGGACAGTAAGTTGTCAAAGGTTGTAGAGTACTATTTTTTTGCCTTTGTTATGAAGTTATCATTTCTCAAAACCACATATGTTTATTCCCCTCACCATTTTTTTAACTGGGTGTGAATACTCACAACCAGGTTGGTGCGGGTTCATGTTGTGATGTGGATGTGGAGGGATTTCATAATTGGCAGGAGGGCGATGTGGTTGGAGCATTTCAAGTGACCCACAAGGAAAGAACTTTTGAAGGTTCTTCTGAACTTGATAACGTACCTCTAACAATAAAAAAAACACAAAGACATACCCCACACAGTTTGTTTGACTCGCCAAAAGGTTGGAGAGAGGTATGACATTAACGATAGGATGACAGGCGTTACGGTCCTTAATGACTGACATCCTCTCGTTAATGTCAAACCTCTCTCCAACTTTTCGGCGTGTCAAACGCACTGTGTGGGGTATGCCTTTGTGGTGTTTTATTGTTAGAGGTACGTAATCAAGTTCAAAAGCATCTTCAAAAGTTCTTTCCTTGTGGTCACTTGAAATGCTCCAACTACATCACCCTCCTGCCAATCATGAATTCCCTCCACATCCACATCACAGCATGAACCCGCACCAACCTAGTTGTGAGAATTCACACACCATTGCTGAGCTGTGCTGTGCGGTGCCGTGCCGTGCCCTGCCGTGCGGTGCCGTATCGTGTTGTGCTGTGCTGTGCTGTGCTGTGCTGTGCTGTGCTGTGCTGTGCTGTGCTGTGCCGTGCTGTGTGTGTTGAAAGGAGGCGAGCTTGTGGTGGTGCACATGAGCTGCAACCACTGCCGCTTCCCACCTTGCCTGCATTCTTCCCTTACCCCACCCTCTACCCGCCTATTTCCTAACAGAATCTTCCAGGAAAACTATCCCAGGAGCTGCTGAAGAGGGGCAAGCATGTGGTGGTGCGCATGAGCTGCAAGCACCACTTATTTTGCCAAACCCACCTGTCATTCTCTCGCGCAACCTACCCCTACTCCCCCCTTGCTCCACCCTCCAGGATTTTCCCCGAGAAGCTATCCCAGGAGCTGCTCAAAGGAGGCAAGCACGTGGTGGTGCGCATAAGCTGAGCTGCAACGCCCCCCTCCCCCGAATTTCCCTTTCCTCCCCACCTGTTTCTCATTCGTACTTCCCAAACCTTTAGAATCTTCCCGGAGAAGCTGTCGCAGGAGCTGCTGAAGGGAGGCAAGCACGTGGTGGTGCGCATGAGCTGCAATGCCTCTGACGTGCTGCGAGCAGCCTTCAAGGCGACAGAGGAGGAGCTCAATAACGAGGATGAGGGCTGCACTGCCACTGTGCTGCTCGTGTGGCGGGCCTTCCAGCCGCCCCACCGCGTGTGGGTGCAGGCGGGCAATCTCGGGGACTCGCACTGCGTGCTGGGGTAAGACAGTGAAAGGGGGCCTGTTGTTGCGGTGAGCAGCTCAGTCAAGGGCATGAGCGGCCCAGATAGGTTCGTACAGGGGACTCTTCCCAGTGGATGGTGGACTTGCCTTGCTTCCAGCCATCCCGCTGCGTGTGTGGGTGGGTGCAGGAAGCAAGTCTCGGCGACCCTCAGTGAGTCAGTGCTGTCGTCCCGTAAGGTGAGTTCTTGCCTCATGGGGTGACGGCCCATCTGCCCCGCCTCATGGGGCGGTGGCATGGGGTGACCGCATGCCGCCGCGAGCTTTCAAGTAGGTCAAGAAACTCTCAACTCGTACGTGAGTTCTCTCCTCATGGGGCGGCGGCATGGGGTGACCGCTTCCATGCTGCACCTTGCTACCATGCCTCTCTTTTCTCTCCCATACCCAACCATCCCCAACCACCCCCACCCATTCTCACCCATTCTGCACCCATCCAGCTTAGGAAGTGCGAGCGAGGAGGGAGTGGTGCAGATGACAGAGGACCTCTGGCTGACAGGCATCTCTTCTCATAGAACTAGTTTCACATACCCATACATTCTTCCCCATCCCCTTCCCATTCCCGCCTATCCCTACCAATCCCCACCCTTCCCCACCCCACCAATACAGCTTAGGAAGTGCGGGCGAGGAGGCAGTGGTGCAGATGACAGAGGACCACCGGCTGACAGGGCCCGTGGAGAAGGGGCGCCTGGCGTCCATCGGCAAGCCCATGCGCGATGGGGACACGCGGCTGTGCGGTGAGATGAGAGGATTATGTGGGGGCTTGAAGGGAAGGCAATGTGGGAGCTGAGGGGAACATGTGGGGAGATGAGAGACAGGGGTCACGAGGAGTGAGGGGGTGGTGGAGAAGGGGCGCCTGGCGTCCATCGGCAAGCGCATGTGCGACGGGGACACACGGCTGTGCGGTAAGGGAATGGGGATGACAGGGGCAAGTGGGAGTTGATGGGGGGCATGGGTGGAATGCAGCAAAGGCAGTGAGGTTGTGAGCGGTGGAGAAAGGGCGCTTGGCCTCCATCGGCAAGCCCATGCGCGATGGGGACACACGGCTGTGTGGTGAGATGGCCGTGCGGTGAGATGGCTGTGTGGGGATCATATGGGGACTTGAAGGGAAGGCAATGTGGGGGAGCGAGCGGTGGAGAACGGGCGACTGGCATCCATCCGCAAGCCCATGCGCGAGTCATGCCTAACATCGCGCGAGTGTTTGGGACCAGATCCTCAAGCAGCAACATGCGGGGCTGTCGTCCGAACCCCCACCTTCCTCCGCTCTACCTCTTCCCTCTTTCCCCCTCTTTCCCCCTCTTTCCCCCTCTTTCCCCCTCTTTCCCCCTCTTTCCCTGCCCGAATGCAGGCATGAACATAGCGCGAGTGTTTGGAGACAAGTTCCTGAAGCAGCAAGACGTGGGGCTCTCCTCGGACCCCTTCATCCACGCGCCCCTGCAGCTGCCCGTGCCTGAGGAAGGGGGCACAAGCAAGCCGGTCATAGGGGTCATTGCCAGGTGAGCGCTGATGATTCTGCTGATGGTGGTGAAGATTGAAAAGGGGACCTGAGGAGAGTGAGAGCAAGGCGGTGTCAATGCCTCTGAAGCATACTTCTCCTCTTGCCGTTGCTTGAATTGCACTTGTCTCTCTGTGTTTCCTGTGTGTGCGCTTGCATTTGAATTGAATGCATGTTATGTGCATGCGTATGCGCTCTTGCGAATGCATCTGCGTGGATGTGAACGCATGTGCATTCATGTGTATGCGTGTGGATGCATGTGCATGTATGTATATGCATGTGCATACATACATCTCTACAGTGATGGTTTATGGGACGTAATGTCAGTGAAACGAGCCATACAAGTGGCACTAGAGGTAAGCGCACGACTTCATGAGATTCTATAAATGAGCGTGATAGTTCCTTTCTTCGCACTGTGCTCCGGATTTGCCTTATGTTTCATTTATTGCAACCAGTATACATTCATGTTGTTGTCGTTGTTGTTGGTTTTTTTTGTTGTTGTATTTTTGTTTCTCTCCCTCGATCTGTCCCAGTCCCCCCATTATGCTTCTTTTGCTTCCTCACACATATCCTCTCGTCACCATTTGCGTCGCTGACCTCCGTGCATCATGTGCTCCCATGGGCCGAGCAGGCTCGGAAGGAGCAGGAGGAGGGAGGAGGGGAGGGCAGCGCAGCAGAGGCAATGGCAAGTGCCCTGGTGGCGAGGGCACGCACGCTGAGGACACACGACAACACCACTGTGGTCGGCATTGACTTCACTGCCATGCTGCAGAGCATTGCTTGATGGTGGGGTTATGGTGGGGTTTATGGTGGTGGTGGTGGTGCTGCTGCTGCTGCTGCTGCTGCTGGTTATGGCATGTGCGCTGCTGGGAAAGGCATGCTCGATGAGAACACATGACAACACCGCCGTTGTTGCCATTGACTTCACTGCCATGCTGCACAGCACTGCGTGATGGTGATCTGCATCGGAAATTACTGTTATGCTGCAACTGCAAGGCATTGCGTGGCGATGGCAGCTCTTGTGGTAGTGGTGGTGCATTTGGTTTAAGATGCCTGAGAAGAACTCGTACCTTTCGAGATGTTTCAAAACTGGCGTGATGCATGGCATGGTATATCGTGATGATGATGTGGTAGATGCGCGCTTGATGATGGCATGTCATGATGATTTGAGATGGCTTGAAACAGATTTAACATCGGAGGCATCTCAGTAATCATAAAGGCATGACTTGGCGCGATGGTGGGTCTGTTAGGTTAGCAAGTTGAATGCATGGTGAGAAGTAGGAATTTTACTTATTCCTTAATCATTCATGTGTTTTCAATCATCACAAAAGAGTTTCCATCTTGAGCTACACCGAAGTGGTGGACCTGTCGCGATATACACTTAGATGACATGCTTCCAGCGGGGATGTACCTCCATCCACAGCCGCCGAGGATATTGATCAGGCTGCCGCGGCGCCATCGGATAGCCTAGCGAGCAGTCGTAGATAAATGCCAAACGAGCAATAGGTGGTAGCAGGTACTGGGCTCGTGCGCGATTCCATGGCGTCCGTTCGCCATTCCACCCGTCTCCTCCGCTCGCTCCTTTCCCTCCGCCTCCCATCCGCTCCGCTTCCGCCGTCCCTTCCGAACCTCCCTGCTCGTCCATACCACCACCTTCCCGCCAAATTCTCAACTCCATTTGCCGGATCGCGTCGTCTCGAAACCTCGTTACTATCACCCCCGTTTGCGCTCTCGCACCGCCTTCTCACAACCGCTTCAGGTAGCGCAGGCGGCGGCGGGTTTGACGGAGATTCGAGATCCGATCCGCGTATCGGATCTTCGAGCCGCGTGGTCTCCGCGAGAGAAGTTTCAGGGGGAACGGATGTTGAAGGGGGAATCTCGGACCGCGAAAGAGCGGAGCTGAAGCTTCGCGGAACCAGCGTAGAGGTTGACGAGGACGAGGAGAAGGATGACGTGGACGAGGGGACGAACGAGCTTCCGGCTCACGCGTTAGCAAACGCCGACGAGATCAGTGCTGACGTGGCGGAGCTGACGTCAGCGTTGGAGGAGGAAGAATCAGGGTTAGGGTTACACCCCGAGTTAGACGTTGAGGGTTTGGAGCATATTATCGACATGGGGAGGCGGCTCGAGGGCATGCCGCGGCGCGTGCAGCGATTCATGTTTGAGAAGATGCTTAAAGTGAAGCCGGGCCGACCGCCGTCCATGCAACGTTTGAAACGGGTGAGAGCTTATATCGAGTATGCGCCTGAATCGGGGAGATGGTTGCAAAAATCACCTTACTTTCCGTGAGCCTCTTAAGGCCTTAAAGCTCGCGTCTCATATTTCCAACCGTTTAACACTTGGTTGGGTTTGCCCGACTGTAATTGGGTAACGAAAACGAAATATTTGACGAGTGGGCGAAAAAATCACAGCGAACTACCAAAACAGTCGAGGCCAAAACAAACCAGGGTGGGTTGGTTTGGGTGGAAAACGAGCCAAGGGGGACAGGTTCGGTCCCCCCTTCTGTCAACGTTGAGTTTCAGAGTCTCATATTTTTGGAAGTTGTAAACGCTTGGTGTGCACGGGAAGTGTGCGACAGCCAACTTTCCCAAACCACCCCTTGCTTTGGTGTGCTTTGCGACAAACTTTGCTGTTACCAAATTCCAACCGTTTAACACTTGGTTGGATAGCAGAAATATGAGACGCGAGCTTTAAGAGGCCTGATCTTCCCAGAGCATGTGCCTCCTTCCTCTCAACCCTGTTTGCTCTTTCTCGTTTGCAACTTTGTCCCGTTCTCCGTCCCCCCTCCCCTGCCCCCTTTCCTTTCCCTCTCCGCAGACCCTACTATCCACCTGATCCCCCTCTCCCCCTTCTCCCTCCTCTCCCTCCTCTCCCTCCTCTCCCTCCTCTCCCTCCTCTCCCCCTCTCCCGATCTCCCCTTCTTCCCCCTCTCGCCCCGCTCCTCTCGTCTCATCGCGCCACAGCAATTCCAGATGCGCATGGTGGACGTCAACCATCCATCCATCTGCCTCTCTTGTTTGAAGTAGTCTTTTGAGACGTCTCAAAACACTACTTCATTCAAACACGTGGAAATTCCAGATGCGTATAGTAAACGTCAACCATCCATCCATCTGCCTCTCTTGTTTGAAGTAGTCTTTTGAGACGTCTCAAAACACTACTTCATTCAAACACGTGGAAATTCCAGATGCGTATAGTAAACGTCAACCATCCATCCATCTGCCTCTCTTGTTTGAAGCAGTCTTTTGAGACGTCTCAAAACACTACTTCATTCAAACACGTGGAAATTCCAGATGCGTATAGTAAACGTCAACCATCCATCCATCTGCCTCTTCTTGTTTGAAGTAGCCTTTTGAGACGTCTCAAAACACTACTTCATTCAAACACGTGGAAATTCCAGATGCGTATAGTAAACGTCAACCATCCATCCATCTGCCTCTTCTCTCCCCCTTCCCACCCCTCTCACCCCACACACCCCACACACCCCACTCACCCCACTCACCCCTCTCTCGCCCCTCTCGCCCCACACACCCCACACACCCCTCTCACCCCTCTCTCGCCCCTCTTGCGCCTCGCATCACATGCAACCACAGCAATTCCAGATGCGAATAGTGGACGTCAACCGCACTGCCAAGGTCACCAAGGTGCGTTCCCGCAGTCCCCTCCCTGTTTGTTGCAGGTGATTTTTTAGAATCCTAAAAAGTCACCAACGTGCGTTCCCGCCCTCCCCTCCCCGCCCCTCCTTCCCATCTCTTCATATCCTCCTCTTTCTCCTGTTTCCATCCACTTTTTCGTTGCACTTTCTGCTTGGTCGCTCACCGTCTCCCTCCCCCTTCACTTCCCCCCCGCCCCACCCCCGCCGCTTTCTGTGTACCTTGCCTTTCCGGTCGCTTCATGGGTGTGTTTGAGTCCACTCGAAACACACCTTTATCGTCTCAATCTCAACATACCTTCGATGCCGACTCCTCCCACATTCTCCCATTCTTGAGACGACTCAAAAATCTCTCTTATCAAATGGCTTTGGTGAAACTCCTGGCACATTTTCCCGTTACGGGGTTTCTTGTGCCCCTCTTCGGGGCTTAAACCCTGTACCCCAAACATGTTTCTTCTGCCCCTCATCGGACTCATCCTCATTCCCCCAAGGAGGCAAGGTGCTGTGCTTCACAGCCCTGGTGGTGTGCGGTGCGGGAACGGGCAATGAACTTTTCTTCCTCGTTCCCCCCTTGCCTTTCCCCTCTCCTTCCCCCTCCTTTTCCCCATTCTTCCAACACCCCCCATCCCACGCGTCCCCTCAGGGAGGCAAGGTGTTGAGCTTTACAGCGCTGGTGGTGTGTGGGAACGGGCAAGGCACGGTGGGGTATGGCAAGGGCAAGTCGGCCGAGATGGGGCTGGCGGTTGATAAGGTGAGACAGAGAGAGGCAAGGTGAGACAAGCAGTGTGGTATAGAGAAGTACAGAGTTGTATAGAGAAGTGCAGAGCGGTATAGAGAAGTGCAGAGCAGTATAGAGAAGTTCAGAGCGGTATAGAGAAGTGCAGAGCAGTATAGAGAAGTGCAGTGCGGTGATAGGCTGAGAGTCAAGGCACGGTGGGGTATGGCAAGGGCAAGTGGGCAGATATGGGGCTGGCGGTTGATAAGGTGAGACAGAGAGAGGCAAGGTGAGACAAGCAGTGGAGTATAGAGAAGTGCAGTGCGGTGATAGGCTGAGGGGCATGGCACGGTGGGGTATGGCAAGGGCAAGTCGGCCGAGATGGGGCTGGCGGTCGATAAGGTGGGTGTGCAAGGGTGAGATGAGACAAGCAGTGCCGTGCAGTGCAATGCAGTGCGGTGCCAGGCTGTGAAGACTGAACTTTGCTGAGTGGGGTATGGCAAGGCCATGTCGGCAGAGATGACTGGAGGTTGATTTGATACGGTGAGACTCTATGGGTGAGATGAATCGAGTAGTGCAGTGCGGTTCATTGCGATGCAGTGGGGGGGGGGGGGGGGCATTTACAGAAGTCGGCTTCACAAGAGAAACGGACGATGAAGCAATCCCCCCCCCCCTCCCGCCCCCTTTCCCCTCTTCCTGCCCCCCCCCCCCCCCCCAATTTACCTCCCCCTGTCCCTCCTCACTCCCCCTGCAGGCCTACCTGCGGGCGCTGAGAAATCTACATTACTTCGACCGCTTCAGAGGGCGAACGATTGCCGAAGCACAGATGGCGAAATACGGAAAGACAAAGGTGAGGTGGTTAGGTGTTTGACCAACGTGGGGTGGTATGGAATGTGAGACGGCACAAAAGACTAAGGCGGGAGCAATCTATTGCCGAAGCACAGATGGCGAAGTACGGAAAGACAGAGGTGGGGTGGCTTGACCTTTGAGGCTGCACAAAACGACAGGTGGGGGCTGATTCGGTTTTTGAGGCAGCACAGAATGACAGATTTGGGGGCAGTCAAACGACAGACTATGGAGGATGGCTGAACAGCAGGTTGGGTTTTTGAGACGTCTCAAAAATCTACTTTTATCACGTGGCAGTCAAACGACAGACTATGGAGGATGGCTGAACAGCAGGTTGGGTTTTTGAGACGTCTCAAAAATCTACTTTTATCACGTGGCAGTCAAACGACAGACTATGGAGGATGGCTGAACAGCAGGTTGGGTTTTTGAGACGTCTCAAAAATCTACTTTTATCACGTGGCAGTCAAACGACAGACTATGGAGGATGGCTGAACAGCAGGTTGGGTTTTTGAGACGTCTCAAAAATTTACTTTTACCACGTGGCAGTCAAACGACAGACTATGGAGGATGGCTGAACAGCAGGTTGGGTTTTTGAGACGTCTCAAAAATCTACTTTTATCACGTGGCAGTCAAACGACAGACTGTGGAGGATGGCTGAACAGCAGGTTGGGTTTTTGAGACGTCTCAAAAATCTACTTTTATCACGTGGCAGTCAAACGACAGACTATGGAGGATGGCTGAACAGCAGGTTGGGTTTTTGAGACGTCTCAATAATCTACTTTTATCACGTGGCAGTCAAACGACAGACTGTGGAGGATGGCTGAACAGCAGGTTGGGTTTTTGAGACGTCTCAAAAAACTACTTTTATCACGTGGCAGTCAAACGACAGACTATGGAGGATGGCTGAACAGCAGGTTGGGTTTTTGAGACGTCTCAAAAATCTACTTTTATCACGTGGCAGTCAAACGACAGACTGTGGAGGATGGCTGAACAGCAGGTTGGGTTTTTGAGACGTCTCAAAAATCTACTTTTATCACGTGGCAGTCAAACGACAGACTATGGAGGATGGCTGAACAGCAGGTTGGGTTTCTGAGACGTCTCAAAAATCTACTTTTATCACGTGGCAGTCAAACGACAGACTGTGGAGGATGGCTGAACAGCAGGTTGGGTTTTTGAGACGTCTCAAAAATCTACTTTTATCACGTGGCAGTCAAACGACAGACTGTGGAGGATGGCTGAACAGCAGGTTGGGGTGGTTGGAAGAACACAGGCGGGGGAGACAGGTGCGCAGATGCTCAAGGGGTTGGGCATGCGCTTGATAATTCTCCAATGTGCCGTGCATGTGCCGTGCATGTGCCGTGCATGTGCCGTGCATGTGCCGCATCAACCTTTCAACCCTCATCCCTGTGCCTGGCAGGTGTACATGTGGCCGGCTCGCAAGGGGTCAGGCATGAGTGTCGGGAGACTACTTAAAGCAGAGAGCCCTACTCCACCGAACTCCACCACTACTAACCTTGCCGCTTCGACCCTCATCCCTGTGCCTGGCAGGTGTACATGTGGCCGGCTCGCAAGGGGTCAGGCATGAGTGTCGGGAGACTACTTAAAGCAGAGAGCCCTACTCCACCGAACTCCACCACTACTAACCTTGCCGCTTCGACCCTCATCCCTGTGCCTGGCAGGTGTACATGTGGCCGGCTCACAAAGGGTCGGGCATGAGTGCAGGGAGCACGCTGGCTGGCATTCTCAGACTTGCCGGCTTCCAAGCCGTTAAGACTAAGGTGGGTTGAGAGGCAGGTGGGGTTGCAGGCACGTGGGGTGAGAGACAGGTGGGGTTGCAGGCACGTGGGGTGAGAGACAGGTGGGGTTGCAGGCACGTGGGGTGAGAGACAGGTGGGGTTGCAGGCACGTGGGGTGAGAGGTGGGGTCAGATTAAAGTTCTCAAAGTCGAGGGTTGATTTGGGTGCATAGAACACCGTTGCGTGATGCGCGTTAGAGGCAGTTACTCTGACTTCCAAGGCTGCCGAGCCCCCTGCTGCCGAGCCTCCTGAGGCTGCCGAGCCTCCTGAGGCTGCCGGACCTTTAAGTCCAATCAGGTGAATGAGATTCATCTTCTTGTGCATGTCTCAATGTCTCTTCTGTGTCTTGCCTGTGTGTGTCCGTGCGTGTGTGTGTGTGGGGAGAGGGGAGAGGGGGGGGGGGGGGGGAGGGGGGGCGATGAAGGAAATGGTGCGTGTGTGCGCTCATGCATGATTTTCTGGGGTGGGTGGCATCTGTGTGTGGGGAAGTGTGCGTGGGTGAATGTGTAAGAGCAGGTGATTGGTTCACGGCATCCCCACAACACAGTGAAGGCAGCCTTTCAAGCACTCAGCATGGTACGACTCTCCTCTCATGCATGCATGCATGCATGCATGCGTTGCATGGCATGGAATGGCATGGCATGGCATGGTATGGCATGGCATGACACTCTCCACCGGTGCTATATACACACATTCATTGCTCCTGTCGCCTCTCTCATCTGTGCTCCTCTCTCTGCCTCTTTAACCCCTGCTCTTCTCTCTGCCTTTCATCCCTTCTCTTCTCTCCACCTCTCTCATCCCTTCTCTTCTCTCCACCTCTCTCATCCCTTCTCTTCTCTCCACCTCTCTCATCCCTTCTATTCTCTCCACCTCTTTCATCCCTTCTCTTCTCTCCACCTCTCTCATCCCTTCTCTTCTCTCCACCTCTCTCATCCCTTCTCTTCTCTCCACCTCTCTCATCCCTGCTCTTCTCTCCACCTCTCTCATCCCTTCTCTTCACTCCACCTCTCTCATCCCTGCTCTTCTCTCCACCTCTCTCATCCCTTCTCTTCACTCCACCTATCTCATCCCTTCTCTTCTCTCTGCCTCTCTCATCCCTTCTCTTCTCTCCACCTCTCTCATCCCTGCTCTTCTCTCTGCCTCTCTCATCCCTTCTCTTCTCTCCACCTCTCTCATCCCTGCTCTTCTCTCTGCCTCTCTCATCCCTTCTCTTCTCTCTGCCTCTCTCATCCCTTCTCTTCTCTCTACCTCTCCCATCCCGGCTCTTCCCTCTGCCTGTCGTGTGTGACTGTAGCCCATACAACCACCTTCTGCGTTCTCATTTGCCCATGCTCATCCCCTCCCCGTCATCATGTTCCCCCATCTGCCCCTGTCTCATCTTTGCTATTCTGCCACCTATAAGACGTCTCAAAACCAAAACCCATCCTTTTCTGTCTCATCCATGTTTTTCTTTCTGCCCATCTCGTGTGTCCCCGTCTCTGGCTCTGCAATCCTGCATTATCCTTCCTCTAATGTTACCAGGTTACAGCCAAAGCAGAGGCAGGCCAGCACCAGCCACTTCATATCTCAACTTGAGCATCACACAGATGTCTGTGGACACACTACCTACCAGAGCATTGATCACAAGATCATTAACAGTAATCAAAAATAATAAACGCTCTGTCTTTTCTACAGAGTAGTAGCGTACATTCCTGCAACGACGCGCCACAATAACTTCGGGTCACAAGCGTTATTCGTGATTATTTTGATGCTCCGAAACCATGATCAGAGCCGTTCCAGCGACCCGATTGGCTGTTCATGATTTAGGAGCATTCTTCACAGCATTCTTTGCACAAAATGTAGAGATCACACAAAGACAAGCATACTAGATATCCTCTAACAAACCAGGACAAGCCTCTACACCCGCATATCCACCAAGTATGGCGCATCTGCCAAAGAAGCGTCCCGCCCAACGTCCTATTCTTTGATGAATAAGGGCGTGTAAAATTGTAACGACCAAACGCTATTGTTGATTATTTGGGCGTTTCTGGCGATTGCGAGGATTAGGGTTACGCCGATGGGAGTAGTCACCCCGGTCTGACCGATTTTCAGTGGTAATTTCGGAACAGAGATTTACGCACCGCAATTTGGGACATGATTAAACTGATGCTCAGCGGGGAGATACTTTTTTTTTTTCCGTTACCTAAACCCACTGCTTTGGTAAACACTCTAGTCTAGGCTTCACATCCCCCGTATTCCACACCCCAATGTAGTAAGGGAATCGAAACATTTCCCTTTTTATAAAGGGAGTGGTTTGGGGTGGGTGCCCCAAATGCTGACGAACTTTGTGGCGGGGCTCGCTTAAGTGTTACATATTTCGCACTCGCCAGCAACGCCCAAATGATCGACCATAGCGTTTGGTCGTTACAATTTTACACGCCCTAAGGGGGTGTCCGAAGTGAACGTCGATATCTGTCGACAAAATCCTCGGATCAAAGGTTCCGAGCCGGATTTGTAGACATCAGTCGACATCCCACTTCAAACGCGCCCTAAAACAATGTACGGTATGCAACCCAATTGAGAGGGAATGATTAAAAACATTACGCTTTGTGTTTTGCGAAGCAGCTGCGTGCGGGAAGTCCGCGTCGGAACGGAACGAATATCGATTGATGCGATTTTCCAAAGGACGAGATTTCGGCGGCCCGTGCCTAAGCTTCGTGTCGCACGCGAGGCTGCCCTTTCTTATTGGCCTTAGGTGTTGGTGAGGCAGAGCCCGTCAAGCCTATTGAACTGTCAGTTACCCAAATCACATGAAAACATAGTTGAGACTCGAGAGCTAGGGAAAGAATGACATTAGTACAGCTGTTTCTGTTTGGATCTGTGCCTATGTTCCCTTTGAGGCTCGTGCTGCACTGTCCAGCTTGTTGTTGTCGATTGGACTACGTCTGGTAACACGTTTAATTAAGCACTAGCTGAATCGCTTGCTAGTCCCAAAACCCGAAGCCCCACATCACACAACCTCATTCTCCCTTGCACAGGATCTTCAAAAATATCCACACTCGAGGCGAAAAGTCTCTAAATGTCGGATTATTTGGCCTTTTTTTTCGCTCATGAATATTATACGTTGAATAGAATGACAATGTAACGAAACTACGCGAGGTTTATTGGTGGGCACGGAAAGAGAGGAGAAATGCAACTTGATATGTATGACTGTCCTGTCCATTCGTGCACTTTCGTTAGCCCGCTGCCGCCAACGCATTTGGAGTGATTCGAAAGGGGGCTGCAGAAGAAAGTTGTACCCTTTGGACAAATCTCAAGAACAAGCTGGACAACGAATCGATATCCAGGTGGGGGGCAATCGGATCTGTTCCTGATTCGCTTCAAGGTCTGACGTTTGTGTGTGGCTTCTGACCAATTAGTTTTTACATGTTCGTGATTTTTAGTCTGTAATACGCGAAGATTGAAGTTCATTCACAAAATGAACAAAGTACTTTAGTATTGAAGACGCTATAACAAGAGTGTTATCACTCTCATTCTGAACTTGATGGGCTGTGGGATGAGTTGTCTTTTCGAATTTGTGTACGTGTTCGCCAAGCAGCAGCCCTCCACATCAATCAGCAAAGCAGAAACCCTAGCCACTGGGAGCATGGTGGTGGTGGTGAACAGAAAGCTGGCAGGCCAGCTCACATCACATGCACAGCTGACCCCCTGCAGCAAGTCGAAAACCCCAGACAGCGCATTATAGCGGAGAACGGGGAGGCGGGCAAGTTCACCAGCAAGCACAAGGGTTGGGTGGCGGGGAGCGAACTTTAGCGGATGTCCATACGCTGGGGGTTGCGCGCGCTGTGATTTCTCGAATGACGGGAAGCTCTGCATCATTGGTTGGGATAGGCAGGCCCCCCCCCACCACCACCGTTCCTTCTCGTTTCCATGATTTCATCACAGTCCCTGCTACCCACTGGGACTCCAAATCTTGCCAGCTTCAAAACAGGCTGCCTGTCAGCCTCCTCCTAGCTGGTTCAGTTCGTGATTGAAAATCAAGGGCTGTCTTTCTCTTCGCCTCGCAACGTGGAGTCAGTCTATTTGATAGCACCATCTCCCCACGCATGTGCGCGCCATGTGTCTGTTCAAACGCAACTCTCCGTACGACAGGGTTCCGGGCAGGAATGAGATCTGGCTGTGGAGGCGGTGATACTAGCCCACTGGGAACACGTCTGTTCGGCGGAAGTATGAGGCCATGGATGATCAGAATTATTTCACGTCCAAAATTCACCGCTTTTTGCAGTGCCATAGTAGGAATTGAAGTTACTATTGATGCGTTTGCGAAGGTGCGCCTTTGATTCGGGTGATTACCCGAATCTGCAACATGTGACGTCTTTCGTTGAGTATCAAAATTTTTTTTTCCCGACTCGACCCGGCGACTGTTCTACAATGAGATAGCAGTCCGAATCACCGAGTCCTATACACGCTGAAAGCTACGGAACTAAACTGTTCTATTGCTCTGAAATATGGACGGCTCGCCCGAACACGATCCTGATCATCCTGATTATCATCGTTTCATCCGGGCTGTTCAACGGCAGGCGCTTCCCGCGGCTTCCCTGAGTGATCCCACGCCAGTTCTTCCCCAAGTAAGTCCCTTTCGCACCCCGGATCCGCCACGCACAGCCCTGCTTCCGCCCTTCCCCGGGAGAATCGCCCGTCTCGCCGCTTCCCCGGGCCAGCTCCCCCGCGCGTATTCCGGCAACACGATTCCCGGCGCGGCGTCCAGCAGCAGCAGCAGCGGCGGCACCGCCAGCAGCTCGCAGAGCCGGCAGTCTGGGCTCCGTCTGACGCGGCGGCTGGATCTGGCGGCCGCGGAAAGCGGCGCCTCTGGCCGAGAAGGCGGCGACCTCCGCGGAAGTAGTGGTGGCGGCGTCCGCGAGCAGCGCGGCCGCAAGCAGCGGCGGATCTTACCGAGCGAAGATGAGGTAAAAGCCGCTGCCGCTGGACATTTGGGCGGCCACGTGGCTGCCCATTTTGGAGCCCACGTGGCAGGTCACTTGGGTGGCCACGACGCTGCCACGTTTCAGAGGTTCTTTGGTGGCAGCATTGGAGCAGCAGCAGGAGGAGGAGCAAATGCAGAGTCCGGAGGAGGACGAGGACGGGGGGAAGGGGCAGGCGGAGAAGGATTTCCTGGAGGATCAACCCATGCTGGTGATCTAGACGCACTTAGACACGGAAGAGACTTGCATTCTCAACTAGCCCACCTGCTCCAGCAAAACGCTGCTGCTGCCATGGCTGCTGCTGCTCCTACGGCTGCTACCAACCCAAGTGCTGCTGCTGGCGCTGCTGCTGTTGCTGCCGCCGCCCCCCAAGGAGGCAACGCCACGTTGCAGGCATTGGGTTTACCAGGAGGGAATACTGTGGGCTTTAGTTGGCAAGGAGGGGAGGGAGGGCGGATAGAGGGCGGGATGCTGGCGGGGGAGATTCAAAGAGGGTTTGGGGATTTGGGTGGAGGGCTGGGCGGACGCATGGGAGGGGTTGGACGCAGTGGTGGGAGAATGGATGAGGGGATGGGTGGCGGGATGGGAGGAGGATTGGGGGGAGGAGTGAGGTGGGGGGGAATGAGTGGGGGAGTGAATGAGGGAATGAATAGGTTGGAAGGGATGAGAGGCGGCAGGATGGCAGGGCAGGGTATAGAACCACTCCCTTCAGCCATCCCGACCGAATTAAGCGCTACTCTCTCCCTAAGCACCGCTAATACAGCTGCTGATTTCCACCGTGCCGCCCCGGGATTCTGCATGGCCGCCCCGCTACAGCCGCTGGCAAGAGGCTCGCTGGGCGGCAGTGGTGGCAGCGGTGGCGGCGGGCTGCTGTATGAGTGCAGATTCTGTGGGAAGGGATTTGCGCAGTCCCAGGCGCTCGGAGGGCATATGAACACTCACCGCCGAGGTTGGTTGGGGAAGGGGGAAATGGGGGAGGTGGGTAGAGGGGTTTGGGAGTGGGGTGGGGGTGGGGGGAGGGGTTTGGGAGTTGGGTGGGGGTGGGGGAGAGAGGAAAGGGAAGAAGGGGAGGGGGAGGGGGAGACAAGTTATGA